CAACTCTGCGCGTGCGAAATGCAGTTGTGAAAGTTTTGTTTCTATTATTAATAACATTGGGCATCGTTGTGGGCCGAGTGAGAGCGATTGGAGTTACTGTGGCGGGCCAGCCTTATCGTGATGATTACAACCGTGGCACATATCCAGCTGTCGTTGACATGCAGCGCTACGGCGTTATTACAGCCGAGTGCCGCATGCGGTGAAATATGACATTAATAAAAGCTCTGACATTGGGTGAGGAGATGAACGTATTCTCCTATAAAGAGATGAATGTACTTTTTTTTCATTAAGCTTTTACAAAAGTGCCTGTTCAGGTTACATTTTAAAGTAGATTTAGTTTTTTCCGTAAAAAGTGCAAGCGCAGATGTTATTGTAGCTGCTGCTTTTGACAGCGATAGCACGATGTGGAATCACTCAAATTTAGTTTGCTGTTCATTTTTGGGGTTGAACGATGTTTTCAGAAATGCAAGTGTTTGGTACGTGGTGACTTTGTGCTGGGCTTGTGGCCATGCAGTCGTGATGGTGAAGAAGGAACTGTCAAACTCGCCCACCCCGTGAGAGTTTCGGTCATTCATCACGACACAGTGCACTGTCAATATTGTGGCATCAGCTCCCCCTGCGCATATATAGAAGTAAACATCATGCTTATGTAATGCATATTACATCATACGGGCAGTCCTCGGGTTATGAACCTAATTCGTTCCTGAGGCCTGTTCGTAAGTCGGAACACAAAAACGCATTATTTAAATGCCCATACGGTCAGCGGTATGAAACGTATTCCGGTTTAACAAAAAGGGAAGCATTGTTAAACTCATAATTATGAAGAAATATTGTACATTTGCATGTAACACTGTTAAAAATTATGTATAGTAAATAAAACAGAAATTAACATAAATAGAAAAAAAACACTTTTTAGTTTCACTTGCCTTGAGTCCTGATGCTAGCTTGTAGTCGGACGGGGGGCAATGGATCACCACACTTGCACACATGGACGCACGAAGACAAAGATACACACACACCCCAACGACAATGATCCCTCATGTAGCCTTAACAGGCTGTTGGGGCAAGTGCTGTTAGCGAGCAGCACCTATGAAGGACCATTCAGATAATCGTTACTGCAGTTCATTGTTAGCGGGAATTTCACTTTTTTGGCCAAGGTTGGTAACACAGCATGCTAACCGTTGCACTACCGCTCCCCCCGCAAACACACTCACGCAACACAAAGACAACGACCCCCGTATAGCCTTAACAGACTTTAGGAGCAAGTGCTATTCGTCAGTAGAACTTATGAAGACCGGTACGGCACATGAGAGGGTGGGTGGCTAACACCACACCCGGCTGCCTTTGTCTCCCCAGTGGTGGTGTTTACACACTGTACCAGGTATTGGTGTTGGCCGTGAGCAAAAATAAAACTCGGGTCGCCGCTATGCTACCGCTCCCCACACAACAACAACAACCGCCATTTGCCACTAAGTGGCGGTGACGTCACCACGACGCTTGTGCCAGGCCATGTGCACCTTGAGGCCACGTGAAGTGTCGAACGCCCGCTGGCAGGAGGTCACGGGGCAGACCCAGGTGCCACGGGTCGACTGACTGAGATGACTGGCTGATGCACCACCTGTGCCTCCTACTGTGCCAACCCGTTGTGCTTCAGCCACCCAGCGCTCCGCTCGTTGTAGTGAGCGTCGCTCCTCCGCCCTCCGTTGTTGTTGGAGGGCGACTACCTCCAACTGCCCAGCAGCGTCCTTCAAGAGCCTCCTCCACAGAGGCCGATCTTGACACCGCTGGTACCAGTCATTGGCAAGTCCACTCAGCTCCACGTCCTCCTGTACCACATCACTCCATCTCCTCTCTAGCCCGTGCCGCGCCCGTTTAGCCCCCTCAATCCGGCCGAACAAAAGCTGTTTCGGCATGCGGTGGCTGGGCATGCGGGCTACATGACCCAGCCATCGCAGCCTTGCCCGCCGGAGGAGCTCACCGATGGGACCTTGCCTAGATCTTTCAAGGATTTGTGAGCTCCTCACACAATCCAGTCTGGTTAAACCCAGGATGGATCGTAGGCAGGCCAGCCTAAATGTTTCTAATCAGCGAAGATGTTCCATTAGGAGGGTTCACGTTTCGCAAGCGTAGAGAAGGGAGGGAATGACCGTGGCCGAGAAGACCTGAAGCTTAGTGCGGAGTGACAGACCAGGTAGCTTCCACACAGCGTTACGCAACCGATGAAAAGATATTGCCGCTCGACTGATTCGGAGTGAGACCTCTGCTGTTAAACTGGAGCCGGTCATAAGCACACTGCCCAGGTATGGGAAACTCTCCACTCTCTGCACAACTGCCCCATCACCGATTGGGAGTTGTGGGGGTGAGGGTCCGATGGTACAAAATACCCAGGCAGGTGCTTAGTTTTGGTGGGGCTGATGGTAAGGCCCCACCTCTTAGTGGCACACTCCAGTCTCAGCAGCAGCATCTCCAACTCCTCCTCTGAATGAGCAGCTATTACCAAATCATCAGCATACATAACGTGGTTAAGCAATAGGGAGCCATCCCTTGACCGCACCCGGGCATCGATCAGCCTCCCATTATATCTGTACCATATGGAGATTCCCCCGGTACAGCTATTGAAGGCTTCACGAACTACGTGGTCAAAATAGATGTTAAATAATGTGGGAGCCAAAGGACATCCCTGTCGCACCCCAAGGTGTACAGGGAACGGCTCTGACTCCCAGCCATGTAGTTTTACCCGGGCCCGCTCACCATCATGAAGGTCGTTAATGATCGTGAGCAGAGGGTCAGGTACTCCAAAAGCACGAAGAACAACCCAGAGCCCAGGCCTACTGATGGTATCATAGGCCCCACACACACACACTTTCACACACTCACACTTTCACACACACACTTTCACACACACACACTTTCACACACTCACACTTTCACACACACACACTTTCACACAAGACAAATATCCCCCGTATAGCCTTAACAGACTGTAGGGACAAGTGCTGTTAGCGAGCACCTATGAAGGCCGGAACGGTACACGAGGGGGTGGGTGGCCAGCACCACGCCCGACCGCCTTTGTCTCCCCAGTGGCGATGTTTACACATTGCACCAGGTACTCATTTCAGGCTGAGTCGACCTAGGGGAAGGTCCAGGACCGGTTCAGATAATCGTCACTGGTGTTGGTCATGAGCGGGAATCGAACTCGGGTCGCCAGGTTCATAGCGCAGGGGGTGTGGAGTAGAGGGAGTGGAGTGCTGCCAAGTGGAGCGCTACTAGTAGCACTCCACTTGGTAGCGCTCCACTCCCCCTACCCCACACCCCCCTCTCTATCTCTCCTCCCTGGCTCCTCCTCCCTCTTACCTATATAGCCTCTTGTTACAGCAGCCCTTTTGGCGACTTCAGCAATTGTTCCTTGCTGTGGTTGTCCCACCTGATGACGGACACTTGTGTTGCCCCCGAAACGTCGTGATTTAATTTATTTTATTTTATACCCACGTGACTTTACCAAAATAACCAAAGAGTATGGATCCCTGCAGTCATGACAACTTCAAATCTAGATTAAGCTGGTTAATAACGTCCTTCCAATGATTGCTCAGTTTGTACCCATCTTCCTGGTTGAAATTGTGTGTGTTTATACATCTGGATGGCTTCATTAACTAATCTTTGTTGATAGCCAGTAGGTTTGCAGAGCACCTTCGTCTTGGAAAAATTAATTTCGTGTGAGCCCACAGCGTTAAAACAATGATCAGCCACGGCCGAGGTATTGGTCCTACCGTGTTTCAGATCTGCCTAGTGTTCACGAACACGGTCCGAGACATGTCGCTTAGTTTACATTGACATGCTAAACTTACATTAACAGGCTAAATGTCTCGTTAACACAGCCACCATTACGGTGGTTTTCTTACATTGACATGCTAATCTCTCACAATACAATGGCCACTTCCACAGCTTCGTCGTCATGGAGATAAAACAGCTCTCCGATCTTACATTGACATGCAAATTCCATCTCTGCCCGCCCACTTACCCTTGGGCTACAGCCATCTCAAGCCACGCCTACCTACCCTTGGGCTACACCCATCTCTAGCCACGCCCACTTACCCTTGGGCTACACCCATCTCAAACCTATATAACATCCTGCTTCAGCAGCTCTCCGATCTTACATTGACATGCAAATTCCATCTCTAGCCCCGCCCACTTGCCCTTGGGCTACACCCATCTCAAGCCACGCCTACCTACCCTTGGGCTACACCCATCTCTAGCCACGCCCACTCACCCTTGGGCTACACCCATCTCAAACCTATATAACATCCTGCTTCAGCAGCTCTCCGATCTTACATTGACATGCATATTCCATCTCTAGCCCCGCCCACTTACCCTTGGGCTACGCCCATCTCAAACCTATATAACATCCTGCCTCAGCAGCTCTCCAGCTATATTTTTTCACCTGATGACGATTGCTTTTGTTGCGACCGAAACGTCGTGAATTTATTTTGTATTTTTCTATCTACGTGGCTTTACCGAAAGACCCAAAGAATATGAATTCCTGCAGTCACGAAAGTTTTAAGTCAACAATGGAGTATATTTGAACTGAATAACTACTAAAACTATTCCGTGCAATATCCCGTACAGACGCAAATCTACACACGTATCGTGAGCTGAAGAACGAATGATGATCGACGCATTGCCGTCTCACCGGCAGGCTCCACTGAGAGTCCTCGTCTCTGTCTGAGCGCGCAGCTCAAAATACGGAGCGGGGTAAACTGCATTCATTATGCGAGCGACCATTCACTTTAATAGATTTGAAAGGTCAGATAAATAATTCAAATGGTAAACAGAGGCCCATTTAGGGTGGCATTTCGTTTTGATTGCGAGTCAGCGCAGCCCCTGGAAGCATTTTCACAATTGAAAAACAACAACAACAAGACTCTGAAACGATGGCGCTCATGAGAGATGTTGAAAACCGTGATATTAATTGACGTTTTTTCTTTCTTTTCCACGGGGGACAGATGGAGCATTGTTCCCCGTCAAGGTGAAACCTCTCTTCACTGGAGGCACCTTCAACAGCAGCTACAACAAGAAATATTTGCCGGTGCTGTTCAGCATCCCTCCAGCCACCGTCAAGGTAAATTTTTAATCCCAAAAGTTCGTGTAAATGATAAGAAGAAAAATCTCCCCCCCCCCCCGTCTCAACGGGAGAACACGCGCAGGCTGATGAACAATTAAAGATGTTTCGGCGTGAAATGTCACGTGGCCATCGCAACATGAGGGCCTCGTGAATTATTGCGGGGTGCGTTGGTCACGTGACATCGCACCGCCAGGCCAGACGAGTTGTTGCCTTCCTGCTGTTTGTGAGCGCAGCTCTCGCCGCGTGCTGTTAACTCTTTGACTGGCAAGGTGCTCGGTGAGATCACTTTCAATGTTATTGCTTTGACGATACATGCCCATCACGCCTGCGCATAGCATATCCGTGTTACGGTAATGTGTATGATCTTATATATAATAATATATTTTATCATGCCATGTTCCCAACACGTGACGTGTGATATCTCTGGGCTGGCTTTCATCTTTTTTTTTTACTGCAGTTGCTGAGCATAGGCCCCAAAGCACCAGAACGCCAAGCGGCCGGCAACAAACAGCCCTTTTAAAGCCGTAATAGACAAAGAAGTTGACACGTTTTCGCGATTTGGGCGAGGATGCAAGAACTTGGGCGGGGGGGGGGGGGGGTGGGAAATAGACGATGGGTGAGAGAATTCCAGAGCGGAACAGCGGAGAGAATGAGTAGCGTTTTGACCTTCAGGTGTGGTGGTTTTGAACACAGCGCGGTTGACATGACAATATGAGTGGATATCCTCACGGACGCACCGCATTCATAAAGTAAATTAACATTGCAGCGAACAAAACAAAACCATGACAGTCGCTGTTAAATGAAATGCGATGTTTGAAGTAAACAATTAAAATGGCATGAAATGGGGGTTCTTGAAAGCATATCGAACAGTTCGATTAGAATTAACATAATAACAACGGTTCCATTTGTCGTTTGAAACATGTGCCGGGCCCGCCATGAGTCACACAGTCACACGACGATCGCCACGTGCCCCCCCCCACCCCTTCCTCCTCTCCCTGGGCTTTTACGAAGCCTGGGCATTCACGTTGCTCCCTTGGTAACGTCCCGTTGAGCCCCACGGCCGGACAGAGGCCCGCTGTCACATGCCACGCAGTCGCATCCGATCGCCGCTTAGTCACGTCAAATAGCTGCCTAGTCACGTCCGGTAGATGCCTAGTCACGTCCGGTAGCCGCCTGTGGGCGTCTGAATCAATTCTCAGGTCGAAGGCATCAGCTATCTTGACGATGCACGCGCGAACGGACTGACGGAGAGAGAGAGAGAGCGGCCGTGGCATATTTACAATGCGTGTACATATTGCTAAAGCCAGCCAATTTTTCACAAGCCTCTTGGGGTCGACTATAGCATTTTCATTACGACGCACTACCCTGCAGGGACTGGGCTGATATAAGGGACGTGACATGGAAATTATGATTGGTTTTTTTTGTTGCTGCTGTTGTTTCTGTGCTGCTTGCGACGGTAACGCATTGCCCTATGGGCACGGTAAATCTCACAGGCAATAAACTCATAGGGAGCATATTTGTTGTGGGTTAAGAGTGGCGGTGCTCCTGAACTTTTCACCTGAAACGCACAAGACCTCTCGTACAGCCTTAACAGACTGTTGGGGCAGGTGCTGTTGGGTATCACCTATGAAAGTCGGCACGGCACACGAGGGGGTGGGTGGCCAGCACCCACACCCAGCCACACAAATGCACACACAGTGTGATGGAGCCCGCGATGGTACCATAAACACGCCGCGTAAAAACGCCACGCCGAGCAACTTTATCGCCAACCCGTTGAAAGGCGTAATGAGTTTCGGCGCTCCCTTGATCGCGGCGCGGCGTACGAGATGAGCGAGTCCTGCCCAGAGGGCCCAAGGCCCTGTCCACGGTTATTGGAACGTTTTGTCTGCACATCGCGCCCATAAAAAAAGCCAATAGGCCTAATTGGGGGGAGGGGGGGGGGGGTATTGCGCTCAATAAATCACGCTTAGTTGAAGGCCCACGTGCTATTAAAATCCCACTTCCGGGGGCCATTCGCGATGCACGCCATGGAAGATCGATGAGACCTTCTGCCTGTCAATTGATTTATTAATAGGTTTATTAATCCTCGCGTAATGGGATTGCCGCAGGTGGAGCTCTACGCCGTTATAACGGGGCACGGCAGCGACGAGCATGGCTGCGGAGAGTTCTGCGTGACGTCCCACCACTTTGTCGTCAACAGGAGGTTCACCAACTCCATAACGTTCAACAACGCAGGTACCGGAGCACACGATGCTCCCAAAAGCACGACGTTTTTTGTTTAGCTCGCCCTGCGGCCGTGGCTACGCCACACGTGGCTGCCTGTGACCCAGCGCTGTGGAGGTAGCAGCAAGGTTTGGTGGATCACCGCACGAATGTTGCAAAACTCCCTTCATAAGGGTGTCCAGGTGTCAGACCGGTGGCGAGATGTTAATGACCTCGCCTGGTATACAGGAGATTGTGAGTTCGATCTCGACCCTGATGCCTGTATATTTGGAATTTGCGTGTTCTCCCCATGGTCGCATGGATTCTTCTTCGGGTCCTCCGGTTTTTCCCTCCACAGTTAGAAACCTGCGTTTTAGAGTATTATTTGGCTGCTATAAATTTCAACGTGATAAGCCACTTCATTGAGTGATAATTTGCGATAGCCAGGTCGCTTCTGAAAAAGTGCTTTTTAGCTCAGTGGACCTTCACTGTAAAAATATAAATATTTTCAGAGTTAAATTTATAACCGGCCTTTCTCGTTGGCCGTAACACAAAAATGTGGACTACACTTGTTCGTTCTGTACGGGATAGAGCGTTTCCCCTTTGCATGCGTGGGTTTTCTCTGGGTGCTGCAAGTTTCCTCTCCACATGTAAGCACGCTTTAATTGGTTATTTAACACTTAAGTATATATAGAGGATCACAGAGCTTGGGTAATTGTTGGCATCACGTGGCTGCTGCATCTTCCTGCTTGTCTGTGGTTCCGAGCAAATAATTGGCGACACGTTATGAGTTAAAATTCTTATTATCTTGCGTTGACATGTTTCATGTATGTATGCTGAACTTTTTTCGCACCTTACATAGCCAACCGTGCATGGAAAGGACAATAAACTAAACACAAAAAGTAGTTGTATAGAAATCCGTAAAGTATCCCATCGGTTATCTCCAGAACGTGGTGAGAGTGATAAACACAGCGGTGCATTGCAAACAGTAGTCCGGATGATCTTACATTGTAAGTTTTGAAATTCTTCAGCACCTTACGGTTTCCTGTTACATCAAACAAATGTGACACAAACGCAGAAAGTATTTGCGAGCCAATCTCCGGGAAAGCGACGTGAGAGTACTGAACATTGTGGTACAGGTTTATTACAAGTGGCGAGTGAACGACTCAGCTCTTGCATATTATGGCGCTGGCATGCAAGCGCTTGCATTTATATGCGAGTGTCAGTTTATTTGTCTTTTGTCTGTTTTGTTTGGAAACGTACGGAAGCTATGAAAGCACGCAAAGAGTTACGGAGAGGTGCATGCTGGGAATTAACAGCGCGAGACTTGAAAGAGAAACCCGTAGGTTGGTGAAGAAACGCAAAGTTATCGGGGCATAGTCTTGACTGTTCGTCAAAGTGTAAGTGGGCTTTGGGCGGGAGACATCGCTACGAAAGGAACGTGGCAGGCGGTTGAGACCATCGACGGAACGGCAGCAAAAAGGGGTTCATCCTGGTCCTTGATTTTTGCCAGGATTGTCCTCTTGTTGAGGTAGCTGTGCTTGCACGGTTGGCTACGTACGGTGCGAAAGACGGTCAAGGTACATACGTACGTACGCGAAGGGAGGTACATGCCCCCAAGTCATTCCTTGCACCAGGCCCCATCCCAACCACGCTATGCCACTGATTTTATGTGCAGTGTGTATACTATATAGTGTACACATATCCTGTGTGTCTATATGGAATGTATGTATGCTGAACTTCTTTCGCACCATACATAGCCAACCGTGCTGGTCGGAGGTGCGAGGAAAGGACAACAAACTAAAAAAAAGCAGTGGGTGCATATATATATACTGTAATGTGTATATATGTGGTGTGTGTGTTTATGTAGTGTGTGTAGTGCAACGGCATAGCCGTATGGGTGTATGTTCAACTTCTTTCACACCGTCCGTAGCCAACCGTCCTAACCGCAGGTGCGATTGAGTGTGCAGGCAATGCAACTGCGCCGGGGACTCGTGGGCTTGGCCCCAAGAGGTCCAGGCATCGGACGATAGAAATATAGGGCAAATTGGAACGGTGGGGAGGGCCCAATGTAATCCCGTGCCGCTGGGCCCTTGGCACCCACGGTAGGCCACTTCCTAAGGGGTGGTGGTGGGGGGGCAAGAGAGAGAATCGTCGGCGTTGTGTGCGTCTCTCGCCGGATGCCCGCTGCAGGAACGCCGCTGGGGTGTGCGGAGCGCGTGACGACCGGCGTGGTTCCCAACGAGCACGGCACCTGGCTGTACGGAAGGAACGGTTGGTGCGACGGGCAGGAGGTCGAGCCGTGGAGGGTGGACATCACCTCGCAGGTTTGCTCGGTCACACGAGCGTTGCCCTCACGCCGGTGTTTTCTCGATCCGGCGCTCGCAAACCACGCCCCGACTGTGGCTACTACGAGGCGCGTGCCGACTTGGCACGGAAGAGAGCGGACCGTCTACGCGTCAAGGAGCATAGCCCATCATCACGTGAAGTCTGGTCATCCTCATAGCGGCTTTTGGCTCGCCGTCGAACAAAGATGGCCATCGCATCACTCACTTTCAGATGCGGTTCCTGTGGCCATCTGGAGCGCCTTCCTTCTGATGTTCGAAATCCACTGGAGCTATGCGCTTTTTTAATCTCGATTGAAAACTCATTTCTTTACAACGGCTTTTTTTTCTGTTTAGTTTGTCCTCCTTCGCCCGCACCTTAGATTAGTGCGGTTGGCTACGTATGGTGCGAAAGAAGTTCAACATACATACAATACATACCTGCAGAGCCGGGATATATTAGGCGAGAAATATTGCGTGATTTACCAATCTTTTCTATTTGTATGCAAATTAATCCGCTGTGCTCCGAGTTCTCCCACGATGGTTGGTAATCATGGCAGGCGGACATTACGGGGCCTACTTCATTTTTTTATGACCGCGAGCGCGCCGGACTTCCAAGTGGCGGAGTTGTCAGTCGGCCGTTGTGTTGCCATTGGGAGGAGCCCTCGGCCCCGATTCTCCCCTGGGAATGATTCGCTGTTGCGAGATCGTCCACAACGCGATCGTTTTTTTCCTTCGGGATGTAATTGCGTTAAAATAAAAAAAAACAATCGCTGGAAGTTAGATGAAAAATTGGAGCTTCCTTTATTGAACTTGGTATCTTTTCGCAACCATTATTTCACCCGGTATCTGCATGAATGAATTAATTAAACGGACGCGCTCGTTGTAGGTTTTAGCTAACGTTAATGGCATTTATTTTAGTTTCAAATGACACCAACTGTTCATTGAATAATCATTGAAATGGCTGCTTCCAGCCAATGTCTCAGTTCCATTGAGGAGGTTAATCCAGTTCACATTTTACGCTGTGCTTGGGCTTGCTAATGCAAATGTATTTATATGTGCTGTTATCAAATAAATAAATTGACTTGGCTTGACGCCTGTTATACAAATTCACACCATGTACATAAATTGTTTCTACCGGAATTGAACAAATTTCATAATTAAATTACAAAATTGTTTGTTAGTGAATATCTATACAATTTAATACAACCGATCCATCTCCCTGCTTCTTAGCATCATTTCCATTTGAATGTTGTTCATTTCCAATTCGTCTCAATCATCAGCCACGATCAATCGACTGCTGCTGCTGCATGAAGGCCTTGCCGAGATGCCATCAACCTCTCCTGATTCCGACAATGCAACAATCCATCCATCGTCCGCACACGAACCCACTTCATTTATACCCTCCGAATTCACCAACCCGCACTGACCAGCGTGGTGAAGTATGGCTAAATAACCCTCAAAACTCACGAAGCATGGGGAAGCATTCAGGTGGTCTGGCTTGACCACCTGAATGTGAAACTGCAGTTTTTGCTCTGCATCTACATCAGCCGTACGTTTAGAAGGAAGCGGAGAATTTGACAAAGGGCTGTACAATGCACAACATCGCTTGCCCCCGGCGGTCTGCGCTGCTACACGGGGGACCTTTGTCTTTGTGTCTGCGTCATTGTTCGCACGCACGCACGCACGCAGGTGGAACGCGCGGCAAGCAACACCGTCGCTTACTACGGCTGGTTCAACGGTAGCGACCCCAACCCGAAGCAAAATCCCGGCGAAATCACCATGTCCTCGTTCCTGGTGTTCTACAGCGAGCGAAAGCGCTGAGCCCCGGCGACGGCCGCGGCACCGACGGCGCGCCGCCGCCGCCGCCGCCGACCGCGAACTCTCAACGCGGAGCGACCGCGAGTGAGCTACATCTTTCGGGAGCGGCCGTGCCGCACACGCGCGTGCGCTCGCTCGCGCCTCCAGTGTCCATCGAGCGTCTCCTACGTCCGTTTTTTTTTTATGAAAGAGTTAGCTCTGTCCCCTCTGGCTGTCCGCCGTGATAATGGGGGGGGGGGGGGGGGGTTGGCCGTGATGTCGCTCGTAGAGACGATCCAAGATGGATGAAACTGTGGTGTAAAGATGTGTTGCTGTGAGGGACTCGCTCCGTTGGCAACCGCACCGAATTCATCGAGGCATTGCCCAAAACTTGCAGACGCGAATGAGAGTATCAAAGCACTGTTGGTTCAATCTGCAGACCTCTTTTGAGCCCCGACAGCCGCCTCGACAGCACCAGTGCTGCCGAGTGAAATACCCTCGAATTCAAGCGCACGCTGGAAAGTAGTGTTAGTTTATAACCACGCTTGGTAAGTGATTTGTCCCTCGAGTGTTCCGGATGTGTTTGGTATGCAGTGCCGACCGGCGCTGCTCGTACCTGCGGTGAGGTGCGGCAGTTGATTCGAATATCTCACCGTTGTGAAATGTTGGGGTTTTATTTTGAAGATGATCATCGCCTTTACCCTGCGGTATCATCGCCGCGAGTGAATCGAAGGGAATCTTTCTCCTCAACAGGTTCGTTATTACTTCGAAGTTTATTGACTAATCCCGCGCATGATACATTTTCCGATCGCTCTTTCTGTCGTACGTATGGGCACGTTTCATAACTTGAAATGGTGCAGGGTAATAAAATGAAGTCGTTAAAAAATACTACGCAAAGTTGCTGCACTCCCTTGCATTAGTTCGCAGCATTTTTCCATTTAAAGCTTTCGTGACTGCAGGGATTCATATTCTTGGTTCTTTCGGTAAAGTCATGCAGAAGGGATATAACAAAATAATAAAAATATGAAGCATTATTTTTTATTATTTAAAAAAACATTATTTGTATTATTTTATCGTTTCCCTTCTACGTGGTGACTTTACCGAAAGAACCAAGAATAGTGAATCCCTGCAGTCACGAAAGCTTTAAATCAAAACCAAGAATATAGTTCGCAACACTTTGTGCTTAAAAGAGGAGCAGTGGTGAAACTGAAAGGCAGATCGCATCACTCCTCGTGTCTCCAAAACATTGGCTGTTTTGTTTGTAATGAAACTTCTTCTGTGGCCCCGCGATGTTGCCTGAATGCGTGCGTGTGATCAATGGTAAGCACCTCTTAGCGATGGCATTGATTGCAATATTTTTGATGCGGTAACAATGAAATCTGTCGACTGTTTATTTTTTTAAGTAGAAAAAAAAAGTGCACTCGCATCGCGATGAAATTGCCCGAAAGTATCGACTTTTCTCTCTGCGCAATTGTCGTTAATGAAGACATCGGGGTGTGTTGTGGAAAATATTGACCGAAGTTGCAGAATTTTACACAACGTGAAACCGAGGCCAGTTTTATTTTATTTTTTGTCTCACAACAACAACAATATATGTGTATGTATTCGATGTAAGTTTTGGATTAAACCGAAAGAAATTGCAAACTAAAAAAAACACTTGACATGACTTGTCTTTGCGGTCTTCAAATGAAATGCTAAAACTCGTGTCGTTTACGAATTTAAGAACGCGCGATGACAAATGATGACGGTGATAAATGAAGGGGCTGGTCAAGCGACACGGCTGCTGTTGGTCAACGCTGACGTCTGCAGGAGCCGATGGCTCATTCACACACGCGACGTCGATTCCCTACTCGTCGGCTTCATTAAATGCATCCAGCCCTTGAGTATCACACGGCCTTTTTTTTTTAAATGTTTTAGTGCTTTCCAATAAGCGGGACAATTGTTTTGGCAGCGTTTTGATTAAATGTAATCTATTACCTCCGCTGTGCAATTGGAAATGCGCGACGCAATTGACATTTCCACGGACAAAGGAACCTTTGCTAAATAATGAGGAGGCAATTACTTTTTTTTATATCCCCCCCCCGTACGGTCATGTAACAGGTCTGAAAAGTGCTTCTAATTTCTGTGGAAGCAATACAGCGGTAGACAAAACGGAGTAAAAAAATCTGGAAGGAAAATTAAATGGATCGTACAATTATTTGTTTAACGTTGGCCTTAATTTACTATCCATCTCTCTGCAGTGGTATGATCGTATTAGCAGGCTTTACGTGCAGCAAGCAAATAAATAAAAGAATGAAATGCCTGCACAAGTTTAATTTAACACAAAGGCAGCTGGGCTATTGGTCCAATTCGTACAACTGCACGGACGTGCTGCATTATTTAAACACGTTATATTCCGGTACAAATATATATTTCATACTCTCAAATGTTTGACATCTTTGTGAAAGATTTTGCTTTGAGGCGGGAGACGTGTCAACACATTACTCATAATGCATGGTGGGGGGGGGGACACATCTGTCAAGTGCCGTGGAAAATTAATTTGACTCCCAGGCACTATCAAAAAAGTCAAGCTTTGTAATTGATGGCACAAATTTGTGCACGATTTTATGCCAGGGCGTCCGTAGATCGATACAGCTGGGCAAGGAGATGCGAGGCGCGCGCGGATCGCGACTTTTAACTGGAAGCACCGCTGGGCCAATCCCTGCATTGCCGACTGGATATTAAAGAGCTGGTGAGAGAATTGTCGCGCTCGGATCTACGGGCCGGAGTAAATGCCTGGAATTTTCAACGCATGCAAAGGGTAAAGGTGCACCCCTCCCCCCATGCGCGCTCAGGGAGGCCAAAGGAATACTCTTTGGTTCTATTGGGTAAAGTCACGTAGGAGAAAATAAAATAACAAAAAATCACGACGTTTCGGCCACAACACAAGCGGCCTTCATCAGGTGAAGGGACGAGACTGTCTGGTAGGACAGCGCTGGAGTGAAAGAGCCACGTTCAGATCACGACCTTTAAGCTGTGTGAGAGGAAACAAAGTGCCTTGACAAAGGAGCAGAATCTGTTTAGAATTCGGAGAAGATACAGCAGCAGAAGTGAGTGTGAAAGCGATGGGTATTACCTTGTGATCGCGGCATCTTTTGAGGAAGGTCAGCGTCTCGATGAGCTGTGACTTCTTGTCCCGTTGTCTGTTAAAAGCTCTAACAGATAGGTGAAAGCCCTCCCCATAGAGGTTATCAATTCTATATTTAAAGCTTTCGTGACTGCTAGGATCCATACTCTTTTCTTCTCACACAGCTTAAAGGTCGTGATCTAAGCGTGGCTTCTCTCACTCCAGCGCTGTCCACCAGACAGTCTCGTCCCTTCACCTGATGAAGGCCGCTTGTGTTGTGGCCGAAACGTCGTGATTTTTTGCTATTTTATTTTCACCTACGTGACTTTACCCAATAGAACCAAAGAGTATGGAACCTAGCAGTCACGAAAGCTTTAAATCTAGAAAGGCCAAAGGAATGTTGCCGAATCGTCGAGGGGCTGTATTACTCTCTACCCTTAAGCGACGCAATTGAACCGTCGCCACGTAACAAGTGGAAATCAATATACTGCCACTTAAGTGTGGGGCAACTTGTCATCGGAAATGTCGGCGATAAAAAAAGAGCATTTGTACCGGAAGATGTGCGGGCATGAAATAGAGTTGCGCACAATTCGGATCTTACCTGGCGTCTCAATTGCGACTGAATTCTAAGACGAAATGCAGAAACAGTGGGCGAAGGGAAATAATGGTCTTGCGCCTTGAATTGAACAGGGAGTTAACAGCACGGACGGCTGAGGGGTCATGTCGTTCTAGACTATGATGGCAGGAGGGGAGGCTGAGAGGGGGATTAATTAGAGAGCCTCAGTTGATGGAGTGGAGAGTGCGTGGAGGGGGTGTAGATGGAGTTGAGAGTGGAACGTGAGGAGAGTGCATCGTGGGGAGTAGAGCGAGATGAGAGGGGTGAGGTGGGAGAGTGCTTAGGGGGAATGAGAGAGATGGGAGAGTGCGTTGGGGGGAGTAGAGTGAGATGAGAGTGGAGAGGTAGGCAGGGGTGATTGTGGAAACAACTCTAAAATAATAAACCTTGCGAGCAACAGCTTCGCGATCATTGGATTCACTCAGTGGGACTGCACTAAGCAGATAGCTTGATTCAAGCAACAGCTCCATTGATATGGGGACACGTCCGTCAAACAAAACCACACCATCAGTACTGCAAAATCAAAAAGCATGTATTAAACTTAAAAACGAACTATGATAAATTTATATTTGAATGATCGCTCATGTCTCAGTGGGGAGACTTTGCCTCGAATAATAAAATCAAATAAATCCGTGAGATAATCCCCCCAGCAAATATTGGGTTCTGTTTAATGAGAGAACTCGTTGGCCGTGGCTTTTGTTTTGCTCAACTTTTGCGACCACCTTCGTGAAGTTTTTCAAAAGTTGCCTGCGTCTCATTGTTTTATAAACGACTGTGTCATCAGTAAGTCTGAGATGATGATTATAATGTCTCAATGTTTACATGTTATGACATTATTCCAAACCAACATTTGGAAAAAACTCCTTAAAAATCTTTTTTATAACAACGGTTTTATTAACAGCTTCGTTTAATTCACGGTCGAGAATTACGTCAATGATACGCACCTGCTCCCACATCAACACTTTAAATAATAGATTACTTCTGTAACTCGTGGACACGGAGCAGGCGCGCCTGAGACACGTGGCGCCTGCTTCTTGGGCGAGGCGATTCGAGAGTTTAGGGACCGCGGTGTATTTTTACCTACACAAATATATATAAATAATAAGGCGTCCATACAAAATGTAAATTGCTTTAAAGTAGCGAATTAATTGATTACTTTATGCCTATTTTGATACAGGCATGCATTGTCACCGGATCTGAGTACGTGTGCAACATTTGGAATTGATTGGACAACGGGAAGTGGACGAAATTTTGATTACAAGATTTGATCACGACCAACACAGGAGTCAAGTTAAGTAAAACCGTTGACAAAAAACCCCATCTGATAATTCTAAAATTACAGCCCGAATTTTGACAATTCATCTAATAGCTGGGGGCTGTGACTCATTACATAAGTCGAGTCAGAGTTATGTTCGGCTCAAATGAGCAATAAAGCGATACTCAGTTCCTGTTTAAAGTCCTGAGCATGGGGTGGAAATTCCACGTTCCTATGATGGGGGTGAGTCTATCTATAAGACAACCACAGCTGAATTATTCACAAAGTGGTCAATATTTTATCGACCCCAGTGGGATCATGAGCTGAGTCGATCCTGATTGCAAGCCGCTCGCATCTACCGCTGAGCCACCTGACCGGTTGAATTATGATTTAGCTCCTGTTTCCCTTATTAGTCACGCCTGTTGGGTTCCAGCCAATGTCTCTGATTGGCAGCTTGGCACGCCGGAGAGATCGGCTTTAATTCTGTCGCCTCTGAGCTAAGAATTAGCGTCGCCACATTTCCCCATGCGACTTGGGTCCCGATTAACTGTTGACCTTGTTTCCATCCAGCATGAACACAGCGTACACACGGAAGGAATATGCATGTTGAACTTATTTCGCACCGTACGTAGCCAACTGTGCTAATCGCATTTGTCACTTAGAACTCGCTGAGTAATTTACCTATCCGCTGCTGACACTGTGAGTGAATTGTATTTTCAGGGTGTAAAAGCTTAACATCACCTTCAAGTCACGAGTGATTTTGATACCGTATATTTGTTTATGCCAACCTGTGCGGCGAACATAGATTACTGGAGCGTTTCAATTTAAACGCAATGCTACTTTGAACTACTGCACAAAAGCCTTGTCTTAAAATGACTAAAAAAAAAGAAGACAACAGCTATAAGGATGACCCAAGAAGTTTTGGCAATTAGAATTGTTTAACAAATGTTTTATTAAAAAAAAAACAATCTACAAAGTGTAGTTTAGCAGGTACCTATTAGCGAACGGCTCACCTCGTGGGCCCCACACGTCACGTGACCCGCTCCT